ACGAGGAAGAAAGCCAAGGACGGTGTGAGCGCGGAGAGGAGCTCCGCCCCCTGCACCGCGGCTGAGCTGAGTATGGCGCGACGAAAGTGCCAAAGCGAAGAGGAGAGGGCTCCAGTCCCCGAATCCAGTCCAGAGCGCCCTCCAGTGCCCGCTCCTCGTAAGCGCCCTCAAGTGTCCACTACTCCTGAGCGCCATCCTGTTCCCGTGTTCAGCCTAGAGGGGGCTCCCGATCCAGAGTTTAGCCCTGAATGCCCGGAGGCTCACAAATGCCCGCCCTCCCACCCGCTCCTGCCTGCTCCACCGCGTCACCCATCGATCCATCAGCTCCACCGGGCTCCCTCGTCCCTCCGGCTCCGCCTTGGTCGGGCGTCGACCCGCCATCGCCTCAGGACTCCGCTCCTCCGGCTGCACCTCGTTGCTCCGTCCCACCGGCTCTATTGGGCTCCTTCCTCCCACCAGCTCCACCTTAGTCCTCAGTCGCTCGGAGCGGCTCCGCTGCGGATCTCCACCTCGGGCTCCTCCACCACCTGCTCTGCCACCATTGGTCGGCCTCCTGGAGTCGGTGGCCATTCCTCCTCCCTCCGTTGGCTCCACCGTGGGTCGACATTATGGCTGTGGCCTGGGTCCTGCTTTGCTCCTCCTGCTCAAGGCTCCTCCTGTCTCCTCCCTGGCTCCTCCCTCCTTTGTCACCTCCCTGGTCTCTGTCTGCCGGCCCCCTCCCGTGTGTCCGTCCTCCTCCGGAACCTCCTCCCAAGTTCCCACCCACGCCTCCCTCCGTTGTTGCTACGGTGCGAGGACGCACCTTCCGGGAGGGGGCGTAATGTCAGGATCATGGACTGTCTGTGTCATGTTTTGCCCGTTTCTGTTCCCTTATTTGGTCATGTTCCTGTCCTCGTTTTGTTACTTAGTTTGATTAGTCATCCCATACAACTGTGTTTCCCCAATCATCCCCTGTATTTAAGTCCTAGTCTGTGCAGTCTGTCTCTGTCGGTTCTACTTGTTATGTTCATGTGTTTCCTGCCGTTCCAGTGTTGGATGTACCCTGTGTTTCTTGGGTTTCGTTTATTCCTCGTCTCCATCGTTCCTCGCATCACAGATTGTGACAGTCAGTTTAACAAGAGCATTATTTAATTAAAAACAAGAGCATACTGATAATAACGTTTAAAGAAACAGTTTTTTAGAAAACACAATTTTAATATTCCCATGACCGAGGGAAACCTGTGCAGTTTAGGAGCTTACCTATGCCATCTTTAAAAAAAAAAACATTGTCCAAATGTATGAAATTCCATGTAAACTTTACTGTCGTTTAAATTTGGAACTGTCAGTTTAATGTGTAGTCATGTGAAACAGTATGTGTATGTAATAGTAAGTGTTTGTCTGTGGTTTCGCCTTCCAGCGTATGCCCAAATCCAGCCGCAGGCCCTGATTAAGCAGCAACCGCAACAGTTTGTCATTCAACCCCAAGCCCCACCCACCTCAAGAACCCAGCCTCAGTTACTGCAAACCGTCTCGGTCCAGCCCCACCAACAGACAGCCTCACTGGCCATCCAGAGCTCTGCCCAGACCTCATCGGTAGCAGGGATCATTCCGGTTTTGCCTAAACCAGCACTTCACAACCAGGGATCGGCTCAGAATCAACAGGCCACCATCTTCCATTCAACCGTAAGCCACCATGCACTCAGCCAGCACAGCTCACACACAGGCCTGGCCCATGCTAAAGCTCAACCGGTCCAACTGACAGCCATCAATCTCCAAATCCAACCAGCACAACGCCAGGTAAGGGACTCACTTACTAGAGCCAGATTGTAGATTAAAGATAATGTGCCTCATTCAAGAAACAAGAGCAGAACAAATTTTTGTGTAAATCTTTAGTAAAGCCGTTCTGACATAAACTTTCGAATTCATGAAAGTGTTCGTATTTTCAAAATGTTAGTTGGTACAAAAGAAATGTAAACCTGCTTCCTACCACGTGTAAAGGTGCATAAAGCGTAACGTGTTCGTTTTTTGGCAAACTAATGACACTGCAGTTTGATATTTCACAAGTTTGTATGCCCTGTCTTTTTTTTGTAGCTGATAATTGAAAACTGTTCAACTTTGGGTAAAACAGTGCTCGTCGCTGTCATTTTTTTACCTAGCCATCCAATCAATGTCGGAGGGGGGGGACATACATTTCACCGACCATCTATCCTACTTGTACAACGACTGAACAACAATAAAGAAGCTAATATTGCTGGTTACTGCATTTTTATATAAAGTAATATTCTTCAAAATTAGATCCTAGTAATACGTTACTGCTGTGGATATTACAAATCATAGCAAACAAAGAGCCTGGAAAAATGCTGTGCCACCAGTGTTCTCAAATACCATCAACTGGCCATTTTCAGAAGAGCGCCAGGCTAAAAATGGTTTCGTGGACTCATGTTAATTGAATATTTATTGTTAGGCATATGGCCTATTAGTCTTTTTGCATTTATGCAATGTACTGGAGCCAAACCTGAGAAGGGAGTCCAGAATATTCCACTGCGTTCCTGGACATGTAATTTACATAGTTGTAATTCATTGGCGGGGATTATACTAATTGTGAATGAGCGTGCACATGCGCCCTATTTACGAAGGATTGGATTTCATTAACATATGCATGTTTAACTATCAAATATGATGTTTATGAAGCATTTGTGTGCATGGAATGTCTGTTTTAGGGGCGAATTACTCTGAATTTACTCATATTTACGCAAGTTTCATGAATGAGGCCCAATTTATAAAGTTCAGAAGCAACTAACTTCTATAATATTTAGGCTTCAAGACTTGCTCAGGATGACAAGGAGAAGCCCACCTCTTTGGTGGTAAGAGAGATTTGTCCGCCAGTACAAATGCAGCCAACCACTACGACCCAAGGCACCGACCCCCCTGAACAATCCAAAATCGACACCGTTAACGCTACATCTCAAACTCAAGGTACAGTGGCCAAAGAGTCTAAATATGCAAGTTTACAAGTATAGTTTCATAATCAAACAATGCAGTCATCAAGAATTTAAGATAGAGATGATGATTAATTACTAGGTGCAAGACCTCATGAAAATGCATACATACATACACACACACACACACAATCAATCAATTAATTTAGACTTCCGTGCTCATTAAAAAGGTGGATATCCTACAAATATTTTTTATTATAATGTATACTTTGGAGAGATCAATAAAGACAGGTAATACACTAACCAGTAAAACAAAATACAGTTGGAATAAAAAGTTATACATTTCAATGCATCAGATCACTTTTTGTGCAGTGTTTTGCTTGAAATGTGTGCTTGTGCTGCTATTTGACTTCAAACTGACTTTGGTGTGTTTTGTATTTTCTCATCTAATGCAATGACATTCATACATTGTATGTATAACTTAAGTGTTCAAATATTTTCTGAGGGCACTGTATCAGATACCACGCAGCTTGCAGGCGCTTGAGGAATTAAAGAATCACAGCTGCATTAAAATACAAAGCTTTTGACACCCACACAGTGAACCAGAATTGCCAAAAGAGAAGGCAGTAGGATGAGGGGTGGCATGCAATTCCCACATACAGCAATATGGACCAGAATTGATTCTGGGCCAGTCACATGACTTCCTTGCCTGGCAAAATGCACTAGCAGCCTTGCTGCCTAATCTGTCAGTAACTTAACAGACAAACTGGTTTTGGACCAAGGTGCTTTCCTACCTTCAGAAAATGCCCAATATAGCCTGCATAGAAGACACAACCGCTGCCACCAGCCAGTGAAGGATTCATTGAACCTCTAGTCTTCAGAGTCATGTGACCTGCCGCTTCCAGGGAAAGAGTGAACCGCCTCTCTGGCAGAATGTGCAGCGCTGGTGCGTGGGAGTGGAGCACTAGAAAAGGAGCAACGCACACCGCATGTTGCGTAGAATCGCACGCGTGGCGGAGTCTGGATATTCTGTCATTAATATAATCGCAACAGGCGTGTGGGAATGAGGCTCCCTCCGTGTTTTGAGACGGAATTGAAGAGCGCCCCTGGGGGAAATGACTTTTTATTGCGCTTTGTCGGTAAGCTACAGTATGTCTTGACAGTCTTGTGTTTTGGAGCCAGTAGTTTTGGTTAGAGGGCTTAAAACAAAAACGCAGCGGTCTCTAGGCGCGTTTCTTTGAACTGTGTAGACCTGACACGCTGTTTTAAAACGCGACGCAGTTGACGCCAGTAGCGTCTACATGGCCCATTTAAACAGCGCAGACTGAACGCAGTAAAAAATACAGCAGGAGAGATGTATTCTTGTTTAAGTGATATAAGTTTCAGACGCCTAATGATGGTGGGATGTTTCTTAAAGTAATAGTTCTCACAAAATGAAATAATTTACTCACCCTCATGTCGTTATGTCCTTTCTTCAATGAACTTCACTAAGGTTGTCATTTGACATCTTGTCCATACAGTGACGGTGGATGCCATTACAAACACTTCAAATAAGTAGCCTACTCCACTTCAATAGTTTAAGTATTCTGATGTTATATGATAGTTTTTGTCTAAGGAACAGAACATTTTTGTTGTTATTGGCTGATAATCTTCCCCTCAGATGTTGCTCTCAAATATCATTGCGTCAAGATTAAAAATGGCGCGCCGCTCTAATTGGACTTCACTTGATTGATTTTGACGCGATTTACTTACAGACGTCAACTGTCTGATGTTCTACATACAAAACGATTGCATACATAATGATAATAATAATAATGATGATGATGGGTTGTAATGGCATGGGGGAGTAAATTATGGTGAAAAACATATAGCTTTGGCTGGTTAAAGAGATATAATTTTCCAGTTTTATTTTCCAGCTGGACTATTCCTTAAACGTTCGTAAACTTTATAAGTGCAATGTTTGTGTCTTATTTCCAGCAGCTGTTTTTTTCCCCCGCTGATGTTTGTGCTGCCGATGTTGTTGTGGTTGCTATGGTGATGAGCCGACGCTTTGTTTCTGTGCCGCCGCCAGGCTCTGTGGAGACAGCGCGCGACCCCACGGGAGCACTGGTGACACCGACCATGACCTCGGAAGCCCCAAGCGAGCCGCCTCCGGCAGCTGTGACGGGAAGTGTGGCACAAAACGGCGAGAACAAGCCACCCCAAGCCATTGTAAAGCCACACGTCCTCACGCACGTCATCGAGGGTTTTGTCATTCAGGAGGGAGCTGAGCCATTCCCTGTGAGTTGTAATAAAACTACTACTACTACTATTACTATTAATAATACTTTTAGAATAGTGGACTATTTTAGAATAATCTATAATAGTAATTTTAAGATAATAATAATAACAGTAATAACAACAACAACTAAATAATAATAATTATTATTATTAATTATTATTATTATTATTAATAATAATTCATTATTAATTATAATTATGTTAAATTTGATCTAATAATTAAATCTAATAATAATACATCAAAAATAATACATTTATTTTTATTATTTGTTTAGTTATTTATAAAAAAATAATTATAAATACTATTATAAATTTAAACAGGGAAATTCACTCAATAATAATAATAATTGGTATTATTGTTAATAAGAATTATTGTTGTTCTAAAATTATTATTATTATTATTATTCATAATCATTTTAATGCAACACAACAACAACAATAACACTTTTATTATTATTATTATTCTTTCAAAGGATTATAAAAAGTAATACGAATTGAAACTGAAAATTAATTAAATGATAATAATAACAATTGTTATTGTTGTTAATAATTATTGTTGTAGTTCCAAAATTAGTATTATTATTCACAATTTAATGCTACAATAATAATTATCATCATCATTGTATTATTATTATTATTATTCATTTATTTATTAGTCAATGGCTTTTTATTTGTTTTACACATGTATTCAGGGGCGTGTCTAGAGC